GGGGTCAGGGTCCACCCATGTACCAAGGGAGAACGTCAGCAAGGGAGGCGCAGCCTTGACAGAGGAGATATGCAAATCGGCCGCCGGGAGGAAGGGTTGCGTTGAGGGTGTCCGTGCGAAGGTCGAGGTCGTAAAGGTAGAGCCCCTGTTTTTGGGCGACAACTTTTTTTGATTCTCTTCCAATTCAGTCTTGAGAAAGTCCCTGGGCGCCCAGCGCCAGAGGTCAGTTCAAGCGCATGTTCGGATAACCTCGAGGAGGTGGGAGACAAGGGAAGGTGAGGAAGGAGATGGGGAGGGAGGTAACGGACGGGTAGGGGAAAGGGGAGGGGGGGGGGGGGGGGAGCAGACCGCAGGAGCTTCTTGTTCAGCAAGGAGCGGCTAAACCGCTCGATGATCCACGAAGGTATCATGTTCCCGCCAGATCCTTCTGGGAATCACTTTTCCTTGGTGGTTTAGGGTTTAGGCTTGCTTGCTGTTAGCCATCATCGTGATTCATCTCCCTCCACTGATCCTTTCCCTCCGTTCAAAATCGTGCAAACATGCTCCTGCGCGCCATCCGGAAGATGCAAGTTGTTACTGTAGCTATGTCTCCTCCTCCTTCCCCCTCTCTTCCACACCATCTCCCTCAGTCCTTGACCTCACTCATCTCCTCCCTCCTCTTGCCTCCTTGTCCTCGTCCGCTGGTCCTCCCATCCTCGCCATCCTCCCTCCGTTGCGCAGGTTGCAGCACAAACCGGCCGAGAACTTCAGACGAGGTCCGCCTCAGAATCTGTACTAGATCAGCGATAAGGGCAGCACTTATCTCACCTTACTTACCCTTCCCAGTCAAGATAAAACTACCCCACCACCCCTACTGCCATCCAGCAACCCTTCCCTACATGTAGGACTACCCCCCTCCAATAAACCACCACCTGGTACGTCCCCACCCCGTCTATACCAGATGCCCTGTACGAAGGCCTTGCACGAAGAGCAGGGGGTAGGGTATCATGGCCAGGGTCTCTATCCGATCAAAAAGTGGGGTGGGGGTGGAGCGGCGGGAAATGCAAGTGCGGTGACTCAGGTACGAGGGTGGAGGAAGGGGAGGGCGGGGGGGGCAGGGAGGAGGAGGAGGAGGAGGAGGAGGAGGAAGAGGAGGTGAAGAGGACCTTGAGTCAGAGGGAAGACAGAAGAGGACAGGGCAACCAAATGCAAGTGTAGCACACGGAGAGCGGTTTACGACGGAGGAAGACCAGTCGAGATCTACTGAAGGATTGGGCAGAGACCCCAAAAAGATGCCTGTAGCGGCGAGGCTGAGTACGAATGCTCGTTCGAGACTGACTTTTATCTATGTTTGAAGGCGTTTATAGTATGGTTGAATAGTGAGAAACTGGCGCGGATCGTACAGGACGGAATCCTGCAAGTTTACAGAGCTCAGGTGTGAGAGCATTGCACATGATCCATAAGAGACTCTGATCAGGATTTTTCAGCGAGGCCCTTGAGTGATCACCTCCAATGGTCAAGAAGAGAAGGAGAACGAATCCCGGGATCGCGGATGCAGGTAGACGTGCCTTCGCTGGAGTGAAAATGGTGTTCCGGTAGTATGACCATGGTCCGAGAGCAGTGGTTGCCGAGGAGGAGATTGACAGTGGAGATGCTGAAGCAGCCTCAACACCCAACAAGCAGAAGAATCAAGCAGTTCCCAAGCATTGGACCCTCGTCCGTCGAGTGAAAGAGGATCATGGCCAAGTGGGTCTGCATGCTCTCTGTTGCCGGAACTGACATGTTGATTCTTGATCAGGTTCTGTTTGGTCTCGCCATCAACCTGTATGACGAACGTTGGTATAACTTGTTTGCAACAACGGGAGCAAATCGTGCCACGGTCTATGAGCTCCTTCCGGACGGGAAGATAGAGGTCCGGCAGGTAATCACCAGAGGCGTTCAGAGACAGTTGCGAGGCGCATTGAAATGCTGGTGCATAGGTGTATGTTGACGAGGATCAATCGGAAAGCTACTTCTGTTGTGCATGGAGCGTGGCGCCCTGGTGTGAGGAGCAGCCCTTGTTGGCAGTTGCTGGCCAGCTTGGCATCATCCGCGTCCTGGACTGCATGCGGCACTGTGTGTCTCGAACGCTGATGGGGCACGGGAACAGCGTCAACGACCTTCGCTTCCACCCGTACCAACCAGAGCTGCTACTGAGTGCGAGCAAGGATGAGTCGATCCGGTTGTGGAATGTGGCAACCTGCGTGTGTGTCGCTCTCTTCACGGGCGACTCAGCGCATCGTGGAGAGGTTCTGTCTCTGGACTTCCACTTGGACGGGAAGCAATTTGTCAGCGCTGGGATGGACAACGCAATCAAGGTTTGCTGAGGTGTGGAGTGTTGTGGTCGTTGTTGAGTGTGCTCCTCTCAGATATGGTCGCTGGATCAGTGCGCTCCAGCCATCAAGCAGGCTTCAACCCTCCAGCAACAAGCTGCCGACGCTCTGCCCTCCTCCAGGGGTGACGCGACAGGCAGATTCCGAAGTGCGATTGTGCAGCTGCCGACATACTCCACCACGAGGATCCACCGCAACTATGTGGACTGCGTGAGATGGCATGGTGATCACATCCTCTCCAAAAGCACCCACAACAAGGTCCGCCTCTCCTTGCTTGCTACATCTCTGGTTCTTGACCTTCTGTCTGCTTTCCTCATTCAGATCGTCATCTGGAAGCCGCAGCCTTCCAAGGCGCATGGCAGCGATGCAGCTCTCGTGCTGGGGGAGTGCCGATACAGCTCGTCCGACATCTGGTTCTTGCGTTTCAACATCGATCCCCAGCACAACTTCGTTGCAGTAGGAAACAAGGTCAGGCATCCATAGGATACACGAGGCGAGCGTGTGGTACTGAGATTGCTCTAGGTCGGGCAGATATTGCTGTGGGACCTGACGCAGCTGGTCACCGGGAAGGAAACATGCAAGCTGACTCACTCACAATGTACGACGACTGTCCGTCAGACCGCCATCTCTCATGACGGGAGGACGGTACTGGCGGCAACGGAGGATGGTTCGATCTGGAGGTGGGACGCCACGAGGTAGAGAATCCGGTGGATGAATCAGATCAGATGTAAACACCAAATTGGCATCGCTCACTGTCTGCATGCCAAGGGTCACTGGCCCGGACTCACACCCACGCTCACGAGTCAGTCACTGTGCGGTGAGTCACTGTTGCAGGCTGATCAGTGTCAGTCACTATCGCGGGAGTCAGTACTAGCCGTCCGACTCAGATCGGAAGGCCTGCCGGGCAAACGGGAAGAATTGCAGTAAGGAAAGAAGCAAATGCAGTTTGAATGATCTCTTTCGATACGACTGTAGTTGTCAATGTTTTTTCTAATCATCACTTGGAACCGCATTAGCCTCTCTGATAGTATCATAAAAATCAAATATCGTCACGTGGGTTGGCGGAATAATGGTATTACTGATATATTTCGCACTTGATCCCCCCAAATTTGCACTTGATCTCCCCAGTTTCGCATGCCATGTACAGCTGACAATCGGGTTATAGATTTCTGATGTACCGAGCAGAAGTAAAGAGCGCGATAGTGAGTGGAGATCAAGAACGTGTCCTCTCCTCTTGCCCCGGAATACTTGTTCGACGTCATTTTAGGGCTGTTGTCACAGGATCTGGATGTCAACCTGCGCATGGTATCGGCGTTATCAGAAAAAGCTCGTAAAGGATTTGTCGTGCCAAGAAGCTCCAACACTGAATGGCTGGTCTTGCATTTCAGGGCAGGTAGAACATGGTTTGCCGCAGCCCCGTCAATTGTCGAACCAGAAAGCAAGAAGAAGAAATGCGGCAACGAGGGAGACAAGGCTCAGACGGGTACGCGTAAACGAGTGCTAATCATAGTAGAGATCGGAATGGGAACAGAACCATTCTGCGGTTCAGCGCACCTTGTGACAGCAAGCAATGCACCTGAGACGACGGAGAGACTTGACGATGGAGTGGTCGTGTCTTTGGGATGATACCATACGATCTGCATTGCAGCCAGATATCTGACAAAAAAGCAGATTACTTGTATTCTGTATTTGATTGGCATTAAAACATCTCTCCGAACAAATTGAAAGAACGTATATATATTCCCAATGCCTGTGGCGCATCGATCCGGTGAAGAGAAGATGGGAGAGGTGACATTAGGAACGAATAAGCTTCAAAAAGCCTGTGCCACGGAGAATGGGAGAGCATATCTATCAGCAGGATATATCTACATCGGGAGGGGGGAGAGAGCCTCCGGGGGATGGGAGGACTTGAAAAGAAGAAGCTCGCAACGCCGGGAGCAAGCAGGTGACGCCCGTGAGCGATTTCTCCCAAAGCCTTGTCAAATCAACATAACGAACACTTGCAGGAGATGATCCTGGATGGGTTCGTTCACCGCTCTAAGTCTTAGTACATCACATCACCACAATCTATTACACTCTCTGCTGTTGTTTGTGACCTGGACTATCGCACTTACCCGACCCCACGGAGAGTGCGCTCTGCGGCCAAAATTGTCTGAGTCGGGTTCCCTGAAGCATAAAACAACAACAGCGATTTTTTGGTTTTCCGCGGTATTCAAAATCCGGATGCATGTAGCCGATATTGGCGATTGCACTGCGACAAACAAGTAAAATGGAATCTTACTAAGAGATCAGCAAATTCATCATATGACGAGACCTGGTCCGGAACGAAGTTTTCCTTGTTGAGCTCGACGAGTTACATCTGAGCAAGTGCACGGTTGTCAAATAAGATCTTGATTGACGATGCACTGCTGAGCTGAAGGAGTTGGGTTGTGTTGTTCACACCCATGCCCAGAACGCAAAGAAAGCACGAAAGATGACAATTCTCTGGACGTTGTCAGAGAGTGTATGGAGCTCAGCTTCTGTATGATGAAGTCGTCATCAGGTGAATTGGCGACCTTCTTGATGTATCTAGTCTGGCAGAATTGTTGTCGTGGCTTTCAGTGGCACTTCAAATCGTTTTACGATTGACGTAGGAAGAGCTTTCGATAAAGAGTTAACCCATCACAGTTCAAGCTCCATGTAACAACAAAGGGCATCCACGAAGATCAACACATAGCGCATTGCGTCATGATTAGTTCCCTCGAGAATACTTCTTGCAAGGGATTCAAGCTCATCCTAGGAAATTGAGGAAGTCGCTGTAAGGTACGAGGTGATGACAAGGATGAAGTTACGAGGAGATGATAGGGATGAAGTTACGAGGAGATGACAAGGATCAAGGTACGAGGAGATGACAAGGAGGAAGGTACGAGGAGATGACAAGGAGGAAGGTACGAGGAGATGATAAGGACTTGGGTCTGGGTATGACAGGTATCAATTCATGGAGCCGGGCAGAAATCTGGGAGATATGATTGGATGATACGAAAATGAATTCAAGGAAAATTGATGATTGGAAAATGATTACAAGTTACTACCTAGTTCTTTACTCAAAGTTAAGTTACTTTGTAGTATGTCCGGTAGTGAAGTTCGGCCGCCACGCACGTACTTGTGACTCATCAGTGACCGCCGAGCTGGACCCCTACAAACTCCCATATGAAGTACCCGTCCTCGGAGACTCAGCCATGTTGTACCCCCACCCTGTGCCGGATTCAGTGGTTCGGAGTTCAATGATGACCACCCCACCCCTAGTTCCGGGCCTCGGGACTAGGGCCGGCCCGAGAGGCACCCACCGGGTTACCCTGCGGCCATGACCGTCCTCCGGACCTACACCAGAGGTTTCAATGACTGTCACATGTAGACACGGACCTGAAATCAGCAGGGTAGATTTGAAATTGTCTACTGACATGTTGGAGGGGTAGGTGGGTATGATGACTCAGATAAAGTTACGGTACTTCAGTAGACGGTCGGTGGGTAGTCGTACTTGAGGGGTGGCAAGGGGTCCTTGAACGGGTGTTAGATGCCACTTGTGTTGGCTCGCGATGAATGATTGTGTCGAGCAGGGTGGGTAGTAGAGAAAGGGGTGCAATGACTCAGAGAAGCCTCGGTGGGGTGGTTTTCAGGGTGGGGTGGGTGGGTAACAGTAGTGGAGGAGTAAAATCAATAAAGATATGGATTTTAAAATCTCATGAGGAAAAACTGGGAAAAGGAAGAACAACCGGCCATTGGGCGAAAAAAATGGCAGGAGCGAGTGGGAAAGACGAGGATGAGTACTAGGGGAATGGAGCAGATGAGAAAATGATGGGGAAATACAGATGGCACTCACGCAAGGGATGCCGGCAAGATTGAGAATGAGGTGTTGAAGCACGGGGGGTTCAAGAAAGGAACCTCTCTGCGAGATGAAGTTGTTGTACGTAGGGGAATGCCTGGGGGAGCGAGTGAGGAAGTTCTAGGGAAAAGAGTCATGAAATAGGGCGAAAGCGAATGAAAAATTGATTTTCGTCAGGAAGGCATAAAGCTATGCGGGAAAGCAAAACAGTACAGCCAAGGATCGTAGAACAAAGATGAAGAAGACAGATAGCAGATGTAAGTGGAGATGAAAGACATAGAGGAGAGAGAGACAGAGAGACAGAGAGAGCGAGAGGGAGGGAGGGATAGGGAGGGAGGGAGGGAGGGATGTTGGGAGGTTGGGAGAGAGGGAGGGAGAGAGACAGAGAGCGAGAGAGAGCAAGATAGAGAGACAGAGAGAGATAGAGAGCGATAGAGAGGAGAAGATATAGGCATCACAGACTGAAAGGTAAAGGTAGAAGGACAAGGAGAGGGAAATGTTGGTTGTGTGACGCATGTAAATTAGCTCTGTCAATTTTTCACCTACACCATGAAAGTATCGAAGAGGGCTTATAAGCAGCCAATATCTGCGCTTTGTTCAAGGAGTAAGGAGGGGGCAGAAACAAGAGAAGATCATGTACTTGCAAGGGCATCGGTAGATGCTTGGTTGAAAAAGGCGCATCAGTCAACCCATGGCTTAGATGGAAAAGAATTAACAATCATTGACCTCCGTTAGAATGCGAAGAGGTAGAAGCTAAAAGATGATTTAGCTTAGTCTAGTGACGATCGTAGCTGGAGATTGTCAGAAGCATGTGAAGTGTATCATCAGCTGACCGTATTAACATGTGACAGGTTTGCCGTCAAAGAGCAACATCTTCTAATCGTGAAGTAGTCATCCTCGAACTTCATGAAGTCTTGAGTTTCGTCTCAAAACCCAACCAGGTCTTGACGAGGGTTTTGACACTTTGATCCACTTGGAGGTAAACTATCTTTATTCTTCATCTGCCACAGCACTTGCTTGTTTGATCGGTGCTCTGCTTCTTTTGTATCATTCTCTACGTCCGTTGTGACACTCCGTGTTTGTTACAGGTGGTCAAGCCGTTCTCTCCAATGGCTCAATACAATCAAAGCATAGACCTAACACCAGTCTCGGATATGAATTCTGCCGGTGATGAGGACTATATCATCTTCTCTGCTAGAAAGAATGCAGAGATAGCGGCGTCTCCAGGAGCAGAGGCAATCAGAGGGGGTCAGCTACAGCCAGTCAATCACACGGTCCTAAAGGATATGAGGCGGCGAATCTCCCTCAGCCATTCCCTCGAAACCGGATTGCACCCCATTGAGAATGCGAATGCGCCTTCAGAGGAGGACTGGATACCAGAGGCTTTCTCGTTTGCTGGGGAGATATTAGAACATCCGAAGAGCTATTTCTTAGCGAGGGAGGACAGCAACATCGAGGGCCCTTCAAGCTCTCCTGGTGCTAACATGGATAAAGAGAATGTGATGTTGTGGAATCAGTCAGATTTCAAGAAGAGTAGCGACGATTCGGAGCGATCAAGAGCTCCCACTGAGTATGGACCAGTCTCGCCTACGAAAGCAGACATGCCTAACTTGGAGGTGCCGACGAGGGATGTGGATGCTCTCAACGGTATAAACCTTGAGCAGAGCGAGGCTGCTTGCGAACGATTCATCAGAATCCTCGATCAAGAGATTGCAACCATCCAAGAAAGGCTGCAAACAGAAGGAAGGGATGACAGGGAAAAGGCGATCATTTTGCAGAGAAGGTTGTTTGCGAAGGAAAGGGATAGAATACAACTGAAGATGGAGCGTAGTCACCTGTATGAATGCGATTTGCCTACCAGAGTCAAGCGGCAAGACTCTTTGATCGAGAACTTGAGGAACAGGGTGATGAAGTTGGAGAAGTTGTTGTACAATATGAACAAAGACGTCGTTGCTGAGATCTTGCGAGACGACAATTGTTCAGTGCTCGAAGAACGCATGGATGACTTTTGCGGCCGAATACTTCAAAAGGCTGTGATCACTAGGGCCACCATGAAATTTCGTCATCGAATTCTGGATAAGAAGAACAAGATGATCGAGCGGAGGGAACAACAAGTGGTTGAGAGGGAGAGGGAGGTTGAAGAACGAGAAAAGCAATGCCAGATTGAAGAGAGCAATCTCAACAATTTGAAGAACGTGAAGAGCAAATTAGAAGAAATTTCTCACACTTCGTCAAAACTTGAGCAATTCCAGCGAACTTTGGAGGAAGAGAGAAGGGCCATTGCGGAAAAGAGGAAAAGGCTAGATGCTCAGGAGAACAGATTGGCTAAGGTACTTGATGCCTGGTTTGAAAAACGACCTTATCAACCACGCTTCCAGGAGAAGGAAGATTTGAAGAAGCGGCTCAGCACGCTGGAAGAGGAAAGGGTATCCTTTGAGGTACTTGGTCTCAGGATCCTTGTTCTCACACTGACCTCATTCTTCAGCTGGAAAAAATGGATACACGTGAACTTGCTTGGAAGGAATACAAGAATCGTTTGCCGTCCCTGAATTGTAAAAGAATCATGGTGGCCAAGCACTTCAAGACAGGAAAAGACATGATATTCGTAGAAGGCCAAACTGTGTGGATCAGATTCAAGCTTATTTGCCTCGAACTGATGCTGTCGCAGTTCCGCAAGGGGAACGAGGCCGTTCAGCCTGTGGCGATCAACAACATTACCTTCCCTCCTAACGCACCAAGACCAGCGCCGCTCTCAGCACGGAATGTGAGCCTGCACCGCATGAATGTCGTCATGCTCCTTCAAGGGTTGACTCTGGTTGGTGCAGAAGGGCCACAACTCAAGTTTCGACAAGATGCCGACCCCTCGGCAGGTCCACCCGGTCCCTCGCATCTCCGTGCACCTGCCCTCCAAAGAGCAAGGCAACGAAGACTTCTTTCAGGTGAGAAACAGCAGCAGAGATTTGAAAGCATGAGCTAGTCGTTCTTCACTACATGATCGAACTCCAACCTTGACTTGACGACCCTCATGCACCGTGAATGTCACTGCAGTTGAGAGATATTTTGGGTTGACAACTCCCTGTAGCCAACAATAGCTTCAAAGGTTTCACACTCAGTGCTGGACAGTGCAAGGGCATCCCACTTATACCTACCATCAAAGGTTCCGACACAACTCGAAAACATTTCGCACTGGTCTGGCACCATTGCTCGCGCTCCCTCCGCCGCCTGTCCGTCCACGCGTCTCCCCGCGCTGCTTCCAAGCCTCTCGCTTCCGAGGTTGCCGATGCCTATGCAGACCATCAGCCCGCATTCCCACGCCCCAACCGTCTCCTGCACTGCAGCAGCCTCTCTCTTCTGTCCTCCCGGATGTGCTCCGCATCCCCACGCCCCAACCGTCTCCTGCACTGCAGCAGCCTCTCTCTTCTGTCCTCCCGGATGTGCTCCGGCAGCCTCGACCGTCAACGGGAAGTCCCGGGACTTTGAGCACTGCGGCAGCCAAGGCTTGCAGCAGGTCGCCTGCAGGTCGCCGATCGGCGTCACTTGCACCGCCTAGTATTCACGGATGATCAACCGGAGTCTGAGGATAAAGTAGCAGTTCATGAAGCAGTTCATTGCATCTCTCAAGTATAATAACCTATGACTCTATCAACATTTCCTATCGGACAAAGGCCACATGCCGATGACACACGTGTCCACACTGACGCCATACTGGGATGGGGTCAAGGAGCGCTCTTGGATCGGGCTCGATCTCCTTCCATCACAAAGTTCCCCGCACGGTCGATGGATGGGCCAAGCCCTGACCCGGCCCTCTTGACCGCCCCAAGAAGCCCTCCAGCCTCCAGCCTGCCCCCCTGGTCAATCGCTGGCCGTCTGATGCTCTCAAGACTGCACATCCTGCACGTGACGCAGCCCGGCGACCTGTAGGCGACCTGCTGCTCCTCGAAGTCCTCCAGCTGCCAGGCGTACATCCGGGAGGACAGAAGAGAGAGGCTGCTGCAGTGCAGGAGACGGTTGGGGCGTGGGAATGCGGGCTGATGGTCTGCATAGGCATCGGCAACCTCGGAAGCGAGAGGCTTGGAAGCAGCGCGGGGAGACGCGTGGACGGACAGGCGGCGGAGGGAGCGCGAGCATCGGTGCCACATCTTGTCTGTTGTGGTCATGCAGGAGATCTGCACAGGAGGAGGAGAAGGGAGTTGGAGAGATTGTGAGGAGGAGGGGTCAGAGAGCAAGGAGCGAGGGGAGATCGAGAGCGAGCTGAGCTTGAGCGTCGAGGGGAAGAGCAATGAGGTGCTGGAGGGCGGAGCTCATCGGATGGTGCAGTGGGCAACGGGGCTGCGGAGTTTATAGGTGGAGGCTGGATGTTTACTACGAGGATCGTGCAGTGGAAACCGTGATCGGCTTACTACTTTAGTCCTGATTCTGTTTCCAACCGCTGGGATTTCAGGAGCGGTTGCTATCCTGACGGCCTTATCGCTCGAAGAGCCATGCGAGGCGATGTGCTTTTGAGGAGCATGACAGACGGTTGGGAAGTTTTTTACTCCGCGTCGACTCCGAAGAGATCAGATCTGTCGATTAGGCCGTCCTCTGGCTTCTGGCTGGCATGCCTCACCATCGACCATCACTGATCATGTCTCCGTGTCCCCTACGCCGCTGGCTTAGGCTGTTCGGGTCGGTTTCTCTTGATGGCTGCATCATGACCTCACTGACAAGATTTGCCGCAGTCACGGTGCCGCCGTGCTGGCAAGTGCCTCTGCAGACTCCCGACCGACCATCTGCCCGGGCCTAGCCTATGATCATCGGATCCCCGGGCCCCGTGCTCCGAGGCTCTTTTTGTCTCCCAGACGGTCGGACTCTGCAGTACGGCCATCTTGGCCGCCGAGTCACTGCCGCGGCCGCGCTCACCCCGGCCTCCGGGGCCCGGCGTCCGATGACTCAGTACTGTAACCAGGCTGGCCCCGGCCGCCACATCGGGCACTGCCGCAGTAAGCCGGGCACGCGGCCGCCAGTCGGGAGCCTGTCTGAGTCCGACCGTCACCGCCATTTCACTGACCGACAGTTCGGGCCCGCTCAGTGACATCGCCGGGACTCAGTGACTCAGGCTCGAACCAGGGCCGGGTACCGTACTACGGGCACTGCCGCACTACCGTACTGTACTGTGTGACGGTGATCAGATTGACACGCACTGCGGCAGTGAATCGACGGTTGTCATCTGCCCTTGTCATCTATTAGTATTTTGCTGCCTCATAATTTTTGTTAGGAATGTACTGAGGTGAGCCCAGAGACGGTAGTCTCTGGCAAGATTTTTGCCGGGGCCTGCAAGATATATAAGCACATGCAGGTAAGCAAAGGGAGGTGGGAGGACGAGGTCGAGGACAAGGATGAGGACGAGGAGGAGGAGGAGGACGAGGACGAGGACGAGGACGAGGACGAGGACGAGGACAAGAACGAGAGACCAGGAAGGATGCCTTACGAGGAAAGAAGCAGCACCATTGAGAATACAAGAAGCTTTCATGGGAGAAAGCGACGGAGTGAAAGTAGTTGAAGGGGTGAGTGAAGAGCCAGGAGATGCAAGGGGACATGTACAGTTGTTGATCTGTCTGCGGTGAGCTCACCACAAGATGAAAGCAGACGGATGACGAGGTTGCGAGTGTGGAATGAGAGAAGGGGGAAATGAGAGAACGAAAAGCTGAAATAGTGAAATTTTCAATCAGCATTTACCGCAATCCATGCTGCTTGCCCTGCTATGCTTGGTCCTCCTTGCACCTGCCAGCGCGTTCGCTCCAGCATTGAACAGGTTGTCAAGGACTTGTTGTCCCTTCCTGATACCATTGCGACAGCATCGGTCAAGGAGCACAGCTGAACGGCATCTGTGGCATGTCACGAACTGCGAAGCCATGCCGAGCTAGGTGACTCATTCTGTAGCAGCAGACAGAGCCTCTTCCTCCTTCCTCCGGCACTACCAGCTAACCTCTCCCTCTCCTTCTCCCTCTCCCTTTCCCTCCCCTTATCTCTCCCTCTCCCTTTCCCTCCCCTTATCTCTCCCTCTACCTCTCCCTCCCCTTATGCCTCCCTCCCCTTACTCCCTCCCTCTCCCTCTCTCTCTCTCCCTCCCCTTATCCCTCCCTCTCCTTCTTCCTCTCTCCCTTTCGTCATTGACCATTTCATGTTGTAGATTGTGTGGCTTGAGGATGAACAACAAGGATACAGGTACCTCCTGCTCCTGCTCCTTTCTGCTCCTGCCTCTATTCTTCCAATAGTTACAATCTCAACCTCGTCTCTGATCAAAATCACAGATGAGAGCAAGACATTCATCGACAAGGTCTGTTGCTGCCTCTTCTTCTGCTTCTCTCCCTCCTCCTCCTCTCCCTCAAGTTTCCTTCTCCCATCCTTTTCTTCTAATCGTGCTCGTCGTTGTTCAGGTCGCATCCCGTGGTATCTGGCAGGGCGATCTACCGGATGAGGCTCAGGAAGCGCTTGCCCGCGTTGGATGGGTGGAGTAAGTGGGAGGAGGAGGAGGTGGTGGTGGTGGCGGCGGCGGCGGCGGCGGTGGTGGAGGAGGTGGTGGTGCAAGTGGCGTAATGATTCACGCAGAGACAACAAGGGAGGAGACGAAGAGAGAATCGCACGCGAGGACATCGAGAAGATTGTAGAAAGAGTTACTGCAGGTGTTGAAATACTCCTCCTCCCTCCCTCCTACCCTCCTTCCCTCCCTTCCCCACTCTCTCCCTCCCTCCCTCCTTTAGCCGACTTACGGGGGAGCAGAGGAGACGTTTGCAGACGAGAGGTCGAAGTTGATGTTCATGGAGGATACTCGCGAAAAGATTCTCAAGGAGGTAGTCGCCTTTCCCTTCCTTGCCTGCTCTTGCTCCTCCTTCTCCTCCTCCTTCTCTACATCATCGTTGTCCTCAACTTTCGACAGGTTATCCGTCAAGAGCTCAAGGCGGAGTATGGAGTAGAGCTTGAGGATCTGCTTAATCCTATCAAGGTCAGGAAAACTTCTTTCTCTACTCCTATTCCTTTCTCTGCTCCTGCTCCTGCTCCTGCTCCTGCTCCTGCTCCTGCTCATGCTCATGCTCATGCTCATGCTCATGCTCATGCTCCTGCTCCTGCTCCTGCTCCTGCTCCTGCTCCTGCTCCTGCTCCTGCTCCTGCTCCTGCTCCTGCTCCTGCTCCTGCTCCTGCTCCTGCTCCTGCTCCTGCTCCTGCTCCTGCTGCTGTTCCTCTTCGTCTTGCTCCCCTCCATTCAGCCTTGTCTCCATGTTCTACTGCGCTCACTCTATCTTGCTCTTCCTT